ATCTATAATATTCTATACATCTTATGAGTCAAGTATGACTTTCATACAAAAATACCAACTCAATTTTCTTTTGTAAGACAAAAATTGGAAGAAAAATAGATTATTGCTAGTTGTCTCTCTAGAATTTTAGAATCAAAAAAATAAAAAACTAAACTCTGATATCACTTTGTTAGAAATGAGAGTAAGAAGTAAGAGAGACTAATAAAAAAATTCAAAATTTCAATTATAGTTGTTATTAAAAAAATCTTCAAGTATATGGGTATATATAGACACTAATACAACTCTTAAAATTTCAATTACATTAATAGTAATTAACTCTAATTTATGAATTACGACCATCAACAAACTAAAAGACACATAATAACTCTAATATATAAATCACAACCACCAACAAACCATTAGACACATAATAACTCTAATTTATGAATCACAATCATGAACAAACCAAACGATACATAATAACTTTAATTTATGAATCACAACTATTAACAAACCAAAAGACATAGTAATGTGAATATTTTATAAATTGAGGAATAGGACACGTGCATGTGCATGACTGAGGCATTTTAAATCATATTATTATGTTGAATTGATGGAGATCTCGTGGGCTATTTATATATATATATATATATACATGTTGGTTGGTTGATTTTACAGGAGGTAAATATCCAATTTTTACAGGTGCTACCAGATTTTTTCATTAAAATGGTAATGCAGGTTAAGTTAAAATCAGTTGAAGATATTTTGTTTGTTGCCATTGTTTGTGATTTATAACTCTACCTTCCACTCGATATTGATTTAAATCTCCATTGCGATTTGATATATATTAAATATTTTCAATCTAGTGTAATTAATATTATATGTACTAATAACACGGTGATTTAATGGTTAAAATTCTTGTTTTCTACTTGAAGGTTATGAATTTGAATGTTGCTGAAAATGTGGAACTCGTTACTTTGTAAATGTATTATGGGTTAGCGGATTTACTTATAATGTTTGATTTAGTAGAACTGAAAATTTAGTCACTAGTGTGTTTGTAGAACTGTAGTGATCAAGTTAGGTTAATAAACTAACCTATTATATTTCTAAACGGAAGAAATATTACGTAGCAATTAAATTCTCTTAGTTGGGTTAGTCATAATTAGTTAAAAACTTGATCTATGCTTTCATTTATAAAAAAGTAATATTTTGTATATAGATTGAAATTGAATCTTATTGAGTCAAAATGATAACTTATGATTTTTTGATCTCTCATCTCTATAGAAAGGAAGGAGATGAATAGTATGTTCTAAAGTTAAATAAAAATAACTACATGTTAGAACTCAGTCTCTATAAAAGTCAATGTTTATGTGTATGGTTATGGTTTATCCTTCACATTGTAAGGACATGAATAGTATGTTCTAAGATTTAATAGCATTAACTATATGTTACAACTCATTCTATATATAGAATTGTGTAAATAAAGTAGAGTAAGTGTGTGCCTGATTTTATAAATTGTGATGTACCAAAGAGATTGTTGCTGATTTTGTCTTTGGATATACTTGCGCATATAATTGATGTATTGAAGAGGCTAATGGTCTTGATAATTAATAAGGTTAGTTGTTGGTATGAATGCCTTTAAGGTTATTGGCTTCCTAACACCAATCAGGACCCAACTTGAGTCATGAAGTTTATGTTTATCAGAGGCCTGGGGGGTCGTATGTATCTTGTTTTATCTTTTTTTGTACTACAGTAGGTAAGATCATGTTTTTAAGGGGAGTTTTGCCGGATTCTCAGCAAGATTTGCAGA